GAGATATATCAAACGTCATCGCTAAAGGTTCAGCAATCATATCTTATAGCGTTTTCATAATCAGGAAAATTGGACTTATCAGGTTTGAGATGCTGAAGTAGTCTTAAGACAGCACCTTTCCCAATAACAACAGAGTCCATCAACAAGCGACCACAATCACAATGAGTCGTTGTTCGTTCATTTTAGTGATAGAAAACACTTTGATGAAACATTCCTATAAACCTTAGGTATAATTTATTAACACTACTAAAGGATCTTCCTGAATCAAAGATGTTGAAATTCTCTGAGTTAAACATTTTTTATACGAGAATAACCGTTTCGTACTATATTTACAATCCCCAACCAATTGTTTTTCATATGATAATCTAGTCCTAGTTATTAACGTTTCACAAACATTTCTAATCTTACAATAACTGGATCTGTACTGTTCGAAGCCAGTAGAGGTGAACAGATTCCAGTGCTTTTTCCTGCGTCTAAGAATTTTCTTGACTTGTTTAGTTATCCATGGTGGATTGTTGTTTGATCTACGTGGTACCATGTATGGCATGAACGAGGACGTAACTGAAATAAAGTTGCCTTTTAATATAGACCATGCTTCTTCAACTGATGACCTAGTATCTACTGACGAATCTGTCTTAGCAGCACACTCCTGAATGGTTATGTTAGCTCTCCATACATTTGGGCCAGGCTTAGCCTGATTGTATATCATGTCACTAGCTCTAAATGGGAGTGACAAAACAGCTTGATCGCTATTCGCTAACAGTGGAAGAGTATTTTGGTTGGCAACATCCTCAGTCGCATGATTACAAAGTCCAACAGAAAAGAACTATGGTTTGCATCAAAACGTGTGGGTTTGGATACATGCTACACTAATGCATGCTCCAGTGCTGTTATCAGGAACCAACTAATAAAGGAGTTTATATATCCTATCGTGGTCATCTCAGTCCAACTAATATCAGGTACATTGAAGTCTCCTTATACCAAGCATCTGTTATATGAACTCCATAGCTGAATGTGCTCTTAAATAAAGTCATCAGCCAAGCAGACTGAGCTGAGATAGGTGACACCGAGTATAAATGTGCAACATCCGATAGTAAGCTCACAGATAATGACTTCACAAGATCCACTATCAAAGGATTCGCGAACAAAGGAGCGGATATTTGAAAACATTTGAAAACCCACTAATCGGAGGTTTTCCTCACCGTTTTGTCAACGGGTTCCTAGTTCGACTAGTGTCATCTTCCTTTTTTCCTATCTTCAAGAAACATATCAAGTCTTGCTCGGATGTCAGTATTGCCGTGACTACGGGAGCTACTTAACAAACGATCACGTTGCGTCTCCGACCTTAGGATTATCTTAAGAGGTCAATATAGTCAATAATTAACACTGTCGTCGGTCCTCTTACCTATTCTTATCAATTTTTTTTTTACCTGAACCCCTTTGGAGTTATCAGGTAAGATGCTACGGATATATTATTCGATGAGATTAAATTCTTTCCAGTCAAGCCAGGGTGAAATTCTGTGTTACTATCAGACTTTGGTAGTGTATTTTGGGACTCAGAATGGGAGTTTACCAATGACCTGTCAACTTTGTATGCATCGTTAAAAGCTTTTTTCTTTTCAATTCTTTTTCTCCGTACTTTCGTCCACTTTTTATCACTCAGGTTAGCCATACCGGAACTATTTGGAACAACGACAGTTTTATCTGGGTCTTCAATTTCCACTAGATATGCGTGACTACCAATGTCAATATCAAGTGGCGCTTCACTCCTCGTTAGTTTTAACGGGGATTTCACCTTTTCATCGATCACGGTCGGATGTTTTACGCGTCCCGTAACAGCACGTGTAACACTGACACATTCTTCACTGTCAGTAAACGTGTTCCCAGTGCAACCACCATCTTTCTCCCTGCAGGTCAAGGCTAATCGGCTCACTCCCTCCTGGATTAGTAACGTCTTATTTGTACAGCAAAACAGGTAAAGCCAATGCGAGTTAGGCTTCGGGAATCTTTTGTATGCGGTGGGACTTAAACAGTTACACATCTTATGGAAGAACTCTTTACACTCATTGCATTGCATTTCTCCCTCTATGGGGAATAAATAGTTTGGCTGTCTACATTTATAAGTACTAAAAACCATCTGTAATCAGATTAACAAGGCTTAAAACACAATATGATCACAATATGAACACAAATGTCAGAGTCAGTTAGAAAAAAGGTACCAAAAGTCAAACTTTAGCAGTATTTCAAACCTTAAGCGAAATACTTCACGTTAAGGTAGATCAAAAATGCTTTATGATCCAACAAGTACACAAAAACAAGGATAATCACAACAAGTACAAAATCATTGCCCTTTTTGGAACGCGCTTGGATTATATTTTCTGGTTGGTGTTTTTCAGCAAGTTAGTCTTCTATGGGATGGAGTCGCCATACCCATGCCAAACCCTCCTCCTTTGTCAAGGCTTGGGACCTGCAGTAATCGCAAAGGGGCTCCAGGCAGTCGTTCATTTCTATATCACTCGACTCTATACAACTCTGAAGTCACTTTTCAAAGTGACCTTTAAAAATAATGGAGTCTGCCGAAGAAATTGATGTGGTTTTGTGCTCAGCTTTAGTAAGTATAATTTATTTTTTAAAGGTTTGAATGAATAGACATACAATATCTTTGCCCTAAACTGGCGCTTACTACAAGTATTGGCGGCTTTTAAATGGTTTACTGTTGCTTTCCATTTTTACACGCTACATACTCGATAATGATCTATTGCTCTTGTTTTCTTCCCTGCATTTTCAATTTTATGAGGTTTTTACATGATGTTGTCCTTAGTTCATACCATTGTATCTACATAATTTGAGTTTGTTAATCCAGTGCAGCTGGTCGTATTATGACTAGCTATCATTTCTAGAATAACTTTGTCATATTCAACCTATCAAATGGTTACTTCTTCAAGATTTTCAGAGTGATTACTCAGCATGAGTTGGTACTTACTAGTTGGTTCATGTCAGAGTCCTTGTAAATCTAAATTACAATATAATTTTGGATGCGTTTACTCATTCCTGGTAAATCTCAAAACTTGTAATGTTCATTTAATTGCTTTGTGCCAATAAGTTAGTTGTTGCAGGTCAGAGATTTTGTCCTGCTCATCCAATTTGGCTTGAGGTTAGTTAGCGACATTTGGCTTTTGTAAATATTCTTGGAAAATGCGCAAAATCCAGGAGCCAATCATACTGTGTTTGTATTTTCATTTCCTAGGTGTACTAACAGTTTGGTAAATTCTTTCACCGTTAAACTACTGTTAGGGACATCGTAGTTTTCGCTGGTATAGTTTCATTTGTCGTATGATTCTTTTTTAACTTCGTCGGAATCTCCATACAATCTCAATAATTGACAAAATATGCTTTGTGAACTTTTAAGCATGAGGCTGAAAATGAAATTAGAATAAGATGATTGTACGACAGCTGATGTTTATGCCATTTGCCATGATAGACATTAATCTTAAAGGTAGCTTCGAAGCAAAACAGTTTTGTGTACTTCCTATTAACCTTTCACTCAAAAGGGCTGTCACTACCAGTTTGTGTTCTTGTAAGCAGTAACAGAAAAAGTATGAGACTGACATTAATCTATAGTTGTCCCACCTGTGAGCGCTGCTTCAATGAATTACTTGAAGTGCTCTGAATGTAGAGATACAATCACACATCTTGACAAGCCCTTAAATGAGCCGAGAAATCCGAACAGTCATTTGTAAGTATAACCAATATCATTCCTGTCTCATGACTACAATGTTGAGGTTAAATGTATGATGTTCCAGTGATTAGTATACTTGAGGATTAGGGATGAAGTTGTATTTCAGAACTGTCATCCTTTTAGAGTAGTCACCTATTTAACTTGATATGTTAGCTTGCATTTCCGCACCAGGTTTCATTTCGATGACGTTTAATGCGGTCTTAAATTGTGAGTCAACTGAATGTATCTGTGAAAACGTGATAAAATGTATAGAAAAGGCTATTTATAAAGGTGGGTAAACCAACGAGCGTAATTATCCAAATAACCACTTTGGACTTATATTTAGGTTAAGACATTTTGAATTCTAGAATTTTGTACTTAGTTCATTTCTCGTCCATCAAGTCAGTTACATGTTCGCTGATCAAATAAATAAGTTTCCGTTTTCACCGCCCATCAAAAATTAGATTTTCTTCCTAAGAAAAATAAGTATAGCATTTGTTTTCGATTTATGGCGAGGTTTGTTATAATTTTAAATAACAATCAATTTAAGATATTTTCTTTGGGCGTGTAACCTGTACCCTAAAAATTCGAACGATGTATATGATTAGTAACCAAGTGCATTGTTCGACATCTACACACTTCATTAACGTTCATTTTGATAGCTTGCATCAAGTCTAGTTCGTGTTTCATATTTAGTTCTACTTGCAGTATGTGTAATAAAGATCAAATTAAGAGAGTGTGGCATATTATTTGGGAACTTCAATGGAGCACTTTACTGAATAGTATGTAGTATATATATATATATATATATATATATATATATATATATATATATATATATATATATATATATTCACAGTGGTGTTTATAATGCGATACTTGAAATCTCCATCGGGTTTACGCTTGGATTGGGGGCTTATTGTGATTCTTCTGCCACTGTCTTTTTACCAATACTAAGAACTCGCTGTTGCTGATTTTCCCAATCTACTGGTTTGGACCGTTTGGTGAAAATCCTTATTATCTGTTCAAGTAAATAGAACTTACTTTGCAACTGATGCAAGTTAATTACGTATCGACACATGCACTGGGCTTCAGGCAGTAACCAGTAAACGGAGCTGGGTTTCACTTATCTGGTAAGTTAATGGAGTACATAGACTTCTGAGATGCCTGCATTTAAGTTCTCATAGTTAAATACGGTAGTTGGTTCTGATTTGTACTTATTACAACGTTTCACTAGTCACTTGTACTCGGCGTAATCATTGTGAATTGTTTTTGCTATACAGATAATTTCAAGCCGTTAATAAAAAGATGAATACTAGGAAGCGATCTTGTTTTTCTCCACGATATGGCGATATTAAATGTGCAGAATTAGAACAAAGTCATTCAAGCAATATAGAATCTCTTTCTCCTGTTCCTGTCGTATATTCCCCCGAACCTGAAAATGAACCTCTTCGGCGAAGTCGTGATAATGTAAATACTTTCATGAAATCAAGTCCTACTGAATATACTGGTGTTTGTCAGAGTTCTGGGCAGAGAACTCTCAGGCAAAGGACTGCCTCAGGAACGCCCTCCGAATCATCTCACGGAGCTGAAGCTAAATTATCATCTGTCTCCGTTAAACCTCGGGGACTTCTGAACAGAGTGAGTTTTATACATTGGTTTTCTGCTTGGGTATTAATGTTGATCTAGCGGGCAACATTGCAATTCCACATTACTGTACCAGAGAATAGTTTTCTTATATTTGTATGAGGTTATCATGATTACTTGTACTTCAGTCAGTCAGTCAGTCATCTACAACGTAGGACCAAGCACATATGTGCATCGGTCCAGGTTGTCATACCTCATTAGCACAGCAAGATGAACACCGGATACTTGTACTTCAAGGTCACTAGTTGCGAAAAATACCGTGGCGTTATACCACTTAACGGAAGAGTCATCCTTTGTATTGCCACCTCGTAAGCGATATGACTCATTATCAATGGTGTGATCAGATTCAGTTTAGCTCTAACAACCAATCATTTTCAGTTGCGTTTCTCTATGATCCCCTATTTCTGTGTAATTTTTGTGATTGCTAAAACCAGTGTAGTATAGTTGACAATACATCGCCAAACACGAATTTGTTGTTAAACGAGTTTGCACAGCAGAGAAGTTATTTCACTAAACCATGCTGTTTTATTTTACCATTTCGTCAGTCTTCCGATGTATCTTCTCTGACAGATTCTCAATTTCCTTTCTTTTCCAGAGGTTACGCAGGCCATCCAAGGTGATTCCAATATGTGGTTTATGTTTGGGTACGTCAGAACTGAACAACAAAACTAACTCTGCAGAAGAAATGATTGCCTGTTGGGAATGTGGGCAGTCAGGTATGAACTAAACTTAAATTTTTTATCAGTGAAGGGCTCGTTGTTTGGATGTTATGACCTCTTGTTAACAACGTGACTACGTGGCCTCAAAAAGTAGGCTATTCTGTTTCATTTCGGTGCTAAGTTCGTCTAAGTAACCTCTGTAATCCGTCTAATGATGAGACCAGATTTTTTACTACGTGCAACAACCTATGATCTGGTCCAGTAATATATTGATACAGTTTTTCACACGTATTCTTAAAATTTAGGAAGAAATTATCAAATAAAGTAATATGCGCCTATATTATTCTGCTATTAGGGTTTTACTTTGTTCACTTTAGTCTGTTATCTTAATTTGATGTATATTTTTTGTAAAAGGATCTATTCAGTGAAAATTTCGTAGATTAATTATTGCATGCCATTTTTGTGCACATTAGTTTTAGCACCAGGAGGCTAGATTTCAGGAGTTATCATTTCGTATTTATCCATATTTATTTATTTGACTGATTTACATTACCTACTTATTGTTTTTTACATTGTTGCCGAACTTTCATCATTCAAAAAATAAACATCTTCAGGTCATCCAACTTGTCTCAAAATGCCACCAGATTTAGTTAAACGTATTTCATCAATTCGTTGGCTTTGTGTTGACTGTAAGAGATGTTGTTTGTGTCAGTCAAATTCAGAAGATCAAAATGCATCAACTGATAAGGAGGATCCTCAGTCTGATTTATTATTGTGTGATATTTGTGACCGAGGATTTCATCTTAAATGTGCTGAACCTAATATGCTAGAACCTCCGGAAGGTAAGCTTCTCAAGTAAAAATGTCTGTTATTTTTTTGCTAGAATCTTATTCCATGTACTTATACTAATTGTTGCTCTGGTTGTTAAGAGGGGCATCGGCCTTGTGACTTCCGAAGAATATTGGCTTTCACCATTAAGCGCCATGATTGTTCTAAGACAAGATTTTTCAACTCAGAAGGCAGAATTTAAATAGTTTAATTTGTTTATTCTGGTTAACATTTTTTAGCAAGGCTATTTTCCATGGGACAGGGTTGCTGACCACACGCCCAATCCTCCTTTTTTTACCCGGGCTTGAGACTGGTAGTAACTCTAGAAAAGCTACAGGCGGAGTTTAGAATCTTATTATTCGTAGAATATTACATTATTTGGTTATATTTATAATGAAGTTGACCGTAATTCTCAAAACAGATTTCAAGGTATTCATGAGTCAGTTAATGAAACCACTTTTCTCCCTACGCATGCATATAATGTAACTTATTATGAAGTATAATTATGCTTTAACCTGGTGATCAGATAGTTTTCTACTCTTTAAAGAATATTGTAGATATTAGCTTAGTTATCTATAACAAATAAGCCTCTATTGAGTATTTTTATTTCATAGTTTTGTGTCTGTCAAATTATTTCAGGTATGTGGACTTGTCCTATTTGTTCACAATCAAGTACGGAATGTTTGGACATAGATCCAAGACTACGATCCATTCAAGTTTGTGATCAGCTAACTCAACATGAAATAGACTGGATGAAAAAAGCGGCCAATATCAGTGGTGCTTATCTGACGGCACCATTGTCATTTTCTTTCCAACAATCACCAGAACCTATCATTGAACATAATGAAGCGTCACAATCATCTCGGCCGAGTTTTTCAATGACGTCAAAATCGGAAGTTAAACAATCTGTCCCATCTGAAAGCAGTGAAACTGGTAATATTCCAGCAACTGTATGCAAATCGTCAAAACGTTTAATTCAGAAATCACTGACTGATTGGACTTTAAGCTCTAAATCGAATAGGAAGTCAACTAATTCTATACAAGCTCCTCTTCAAACGGAAAATACTATAAACCAGTTGCCTACTGAAAATGAAATGACAAAAGATGAAAGTCCTCCTAAACGAGGTAATTTTTTCAACTTGCATCATTTATTTACTCCGGATTTAAATAATCTTTTCTATATCATAGCATTCGGTTATTTGTTGCTCTCCATGAGTCTTAAATTTGTATGTCACAATCAATTACCCTTCTCATAAAGCAGTTTATAGCTATTTCCATGTATTGACAATGAACTTCATTTGATGTTATCTAAATTGTGGTCAGAGTTTGACTAATTCAAACATTTTCCCCAAGTAATTCTTAACTGGGTTTGTGTTAACTGATGTAATAACGATTCTCATTTATTCTTTTTAACTGACATATTCTTAACGTAGAAGTAATTCGATATTGATGCTTCTAATAGTAATCACCTGTTGTGTGAGCTATAAATAAAGTGATAGCACTAACCACATGGAGACAAAAACAGTGTGACTGTTTTGTTAGGATATTTTTAAGTAAGCTAAGCACAGGCGTTGATAATAAAGTTGGATGGGGTTTGCCAGACTATTATTACTACGCTGAGTGAGAGTTATGATTATACCTATTTGTATGAATAGTAGAAGTTACTTTTCGTTAAACATCCACCTACAATTCTTCAGTTCCTTGATTCAAGGCACAAGTTTGATCTAGATTGAGAGTTAAATTTCTTTGATAATGAATAACTGTCACAAATCCGTATATCATTGAGTTCATCCATATTTACTAATATTCGATCTCCCCGAATCTAGTCATTAACGTACGTTTATTTACTTTGTTTTGAAAATACTTTATTGTCAAGTATGTGAGTAGTTGTTTCATCTGAAATATCGTTTGTCCGACGATTAGGTGGAATATCATATGGCGAAAAGAACATACATTTATCCTAGATCATACCATGTCATTTTTCTATAGGAGTGAGGGTTGAGCATTTCTTCAGTTGTAAACATTTGTGAACTGAAAATAATATATGCAACAATATGTAATCACAAATATTCAAAGTAACTTGTAGCATTCAATAAAATTGATCTCTACCTTAGTTCTAGTTGTCACTTAAAGTCCTTAGAATAATGCTTATTATAATTATTATTGTCATTTGGATTTACAACTTTACAGTTTCACGTCTTCGACGTTCCTCTCTATGTGCAAGTTTAGCTTGGCAAGGTCTGCTGCGTTCTTGTGACAGATCAAAACCACTGCAGAATAGATCTATTGAACCACATAGTGTAAAACCTATTGGCGGTGAAGATGATGACGATGATAAAACAGATATTTTAATTTATCAAAGCACCACCTCATCATGTAAAGTGTTTAACAAATTGTCTAAAAATGAAACAAAAGTTAAGAAATACTTCAAGCGTACTGTATCATCTCGAAGCACTGACAATTTTGTTCGCAGTAAAGCTAAGCAAAACAAGATCAGTCTACCTGGGGAATTAAGGTCAATTCATGCTTCTAGGGATGGAACTTCTACTGGTTTGTTTAATCGTGAAACTCTTCGTGTAGCCTCAGGAAAATTAAATGGAAATCAAGGTAATCTTATGTTTTTTTTCTTACCATTATACTTGTTAGGAATGTTCTGGTTTTGTAAGATTTCCCTATTTTTCTTAATACTTCTTAGATCAGTTTACGCTTTCAGATTTTAATTTGATAGAAATATCATCTGACGAGTCGTAAAAGAAGCGGCAAAAAGTGTTGTGCTGCATTGTTCTTGCCATTCTATGGGATTTAGTAAATCAGTTGAGGGCATTCTTGTTATACCTCTGCGAGTTATCAGTTTAAAAATCACTAACAACTCCATAGTTCTCTCAGATTATGGTTATTGTAAGACTTATAGTTTGTTTATTCCATTTACGAATTAGTTGGTTATGATTTGGTAATGTGACCGGAATTGTAACATAAACATCTTCCCAACGCTTTTTGATTTGAAGAGTGACTTTGCTAGTCAATGTAAGTTTGTGATAGAGAAAATCCGTTTATCTTTTCGACACAATATATTCAAAATCACGTATGAATGACAAATAAATCATTAATATCTCCATTATTTTGTTAGTTTAAAATATCGCTATTTGCTCTTTTTTTTTAGTCAAACGTCATGTGTCTGATCGATCTGATCAGTTGTCAAATTCATGTAAAATGAATTCTACAAGTAAAACAACGCAGCACTCGCTGAAACATCGTCTGTCGAAATTGACTAATAATAATAATAATAATAATAATAATAATAATAATAATAATAATAATAATAATTGTTTGAAACTAAGTAATTCATATAATCACATATCTCAATCTCATCAACTGCGTCGACAAACTATGCCTACTTCCATTAATAATAAATTTAACGTTAATCACTCTAGTAGACGACGACGTTTAAACAAATATAAAAGATCTTATTATTATAGAAATAAACGAAAATCGTTTAAGCGTGAAATCGTTTCAGATGAAGAGGATTATGACGATAGTGTTTATGAAGCAGACGCTGATGATGATGGTGATGACGATGATGATAACGATTCAAATGAAAATATTACAGAAGGTAAAAAGACAAATGATCTTCTAACTGGCAAAAAGCCTACGACAAAAATAAATCCAGTTGAAGATGGTAACACAGATCTTTTATCTACTTCAAACAACAACACTGCCTATTTTGATTCAGAAAATGATGAAGCACCAGAGATGAGCACAATATCGGATGAAAATCGTGCGTTATTTCATTCAATTCAAGCTGATGTACAAGCTGTAAGTTTCTTCCACTTGTGTTTTATTCTACTTTCATCATGCAGTTAAATAATTAAAGACAACTGTGTAAATACACATATAGTATATAACTCAGTTTTAAGCTAAACCAATTATGACTTATGATACGCAGTGCGATTTTACTTCAAGCCGATGAGTTATGGACTCCTTATAAATTATAGGGCTAATGTTCCATCATATTATCCTCTGAATCCTCATTGTAGGTCAAAGAGTATTAGATCGATATTTTGGTTTGTTTTGTTAATTCTTGTCCAAAAACTTCATGCCATTTACCCAAATTGAACTTGGTCATTTTAGTTAAGTGATTATTTTATCTACCGAAGGTCGACTAGGTTTATGATTTTAGTCAACTCATGATATGACGTAATTCATGTACCTTAGTTTCTAAGGGAAGTTCTTTATTCTGATAGATTAGAAATCAACAAACTTAATAATGTAGACGGCTGAATATAAATTAGTTAGCTGTTAAGCAATAAAATTGGTTATTGAAATCCTACTTTATTCAGTGAGAAAAATATTTAGAGAAGGTAATCACATCCAAAATCATATGTTAGGGGATCGTTAAATATTTTTTACATCAGAATAAAGTATAACTACAGCACGGAGAATATGGAACCACAAAATCTATCAGTTATATATGTACAGAGTGTTCAAATAGATATTGACTTTTTTTGAAATGATGAAGGCTTATAGCTCGAATAGATGCTTTTAATGATGTGTTTATTGTCGGTCAGTCAGTCAGCTACAACGTAGGACCAGGCACATATATGCATCGGTCCAAGTTGCCATACCTCAATAACACAACAAGATGGACACTGGATTCATAAAAGTAGTTAATTCAGAGGTGGTAATATATGAAAGAAAGATTGCAATAAGGATATAGTTCAGGAAGAAAGAATTAGTTCGTAGAAAGAAAGATATGAAGCGATTTTAATCTCATAATTTAAGGGAAGACCGAGAGTGTATACACCGAGCTAGATAGGTTTAATTACAATTTTATTGTCATTCTGGAGAAAATTATCAGTGCCTACTTTGTGTAGAACAAGTACATAAAGTCGACTTTGCTAATGTGCAGACTGTCAATAAAAGCTCTGTAGGTGAACTATTTAACCCAAAGAATAAAATATCACTAAAACAAATCAATTTAATTATGTTTGTTCTTTAATTGCAAATAAATAGAAGATGCTTTCCACACTTATTCTATAAGATAAATTAAACATTTACATGTTTCGATTAGACATTATTTTATCTTAATTTTAATAAAAATAAAGTATAATAGATTCATTTTTGTATTGATTGTTTGAGTTTTCCCATTGATGTTTTGGATTGAAATTGATCAATCTTTTATTAGTATATGTGTATCCTGTGCGGATTGTCTCGATATCGCCTTAAGTCAAATGCATTATAAACAGAGATGTATGATGGTTAGCAGTGGAATCCAGTACGCGCATTTCATCCTGTTTGGGACTTCATCCCATTGCACAAACTAGTGGCTATCTGTATTCAGTAGCTAAGTAGATAGCGTGGTAGCATTTGAAGCGAACGGTACGGTGTTCGAGTCCCGAAGTAGACATCAACTCTAGAATTCAGGTACATCCAGCTGACAAGTCCCAAATAAGACGAGGCGTGCGTTCTGGATTCCACTACTATCCATCATCTATCTCTGCCTATATAGTATAACAGAAAAACAAAACCTATTCAAACATGAACTTCCTAGAGGAAATAGTACTTCTTTTTTTGAAACTTTATACAAATGTAATATCAACGACTCACTTGTGATTTAATTTAAATAATCGTTAATTTAACTGTATAGATTTCATAATAGAGTATTTTGTGGACTTTCCTTTCAAGATCATTACCCTCTTATTTTTCTTCATAATTTCAGTTTAGGAGTTAGTTCTTGATGTACACTGTACAATTGGATAAATCATTCTTCTTAGTTTTTCAGCTCTAAATCATATTAATTTTTAAATAAATAAAACTGTAAGATATCATTATACTAAGCGTTTTTAAGCTCATTAATTCTTTACAGTTACACTTAAAAGTAATGGGTATGGTTAAATGTTTACTGAATATTCATTAAATAAATAATAACGGCACATCAAATTTATTACATTGATTTTGTAAGTTATCGAAACTGTGATAACTGCTACTATGTGTTGTACAGTGGATATAATAAAATAAACTGACTTTGGTTAGAGTAAACCATGTCTGTCTGACACTAGCGTGAAATTCAAGTATCTATAATAATGATGATAATAGTGGCATTTTCTGCCATTCTATATAGTTGAGGGTGGAGAGAGTTAGCTCTCCATCTCGAAATGTTCTCATATGGCCACGTGCAAACAATCACTGCCAAGGACGTCCTACTCACTGTTTTCTGGAGGCAGAGGCGTTGTTTACGAAATTGAGGGAACGAAAAGCGAATGTCCGACGCTTTAACCGAGCTTGTGGGTATGGGGGATTCACCCATGAGAATTAGGAAACCCTAATTCCAAACCAATGGTACACACGGGCTCTAGTATTCTGAAGGAACAAATGGAGTATGAACCTATTGTTGGGCACCGACTACCGTGGGATTGCATCTCCTTACGTTGTTCCACTGCCTTGTGGATCAGACCTTTAGGTCGAAGGCTCGGAGTATGGCCTCCCAAGAAAACCATCTGCTTCGGTTTGGGCACCCGGGCAGTACCACAGCCCTCACACAAATCAAATGAGATTTGTGTGGCACATATGTATTTGGTGCCTCCTTGTGCCAATATCTGTGTTCAAATAATAATAATAATAATAATATTGTTTATTGACTTTGATTAGAAAATATCAATGAAAACTATCCTCTTATATTTACATTGTCATACATTTTCATAGTTATTGGAACACTGTAAATATCAGAAAAGTTGTAACTTTTGGAATTATTTTGCCAAGAATTGTTATTGTATGGTTATTAAATAACTTCATTATATTTTCGTATCCATCAACTACTGTTAAACGTCTTACTACTACCTAATTATTGTTAATTATTCATTCCTTACTCTCTTCTCCATCACTTATGTCTTGGTTGTGCATAAACTATAGTTTCCTAGTTATTTTGTGTTGTGGTCTGGTAATTCATGTCTATAAACCCATAAGTGCTTAAAATATCTGAAGAGATTATATGCTAGCTGTGTTCCTACTTTGTGTTAAATACTAGGTTAGGGGAAACCGTACGTCCTGGGCCCAATCGATGTTATGGATTATATCATTCACTGCTCAAGGTTAATTGTTATAGATGAAAGTGTATCATTGGTCTAAAGGCGAAAAGCATACTCGGATTCGCTTTAGTGGAATCGTATCGAGTGAGTGCTTCAATTAAAGAACGTATACTATGACTCAAGGACTTAACAATATTCGTAAAATATGCTGTAGGGTCACATTCAGAGTAATCTATAAAGTTATGTATACTCATTTTCCTTATTTACTTTGTTTAATTCTCTTAAAGTTAGTTGGTTTCACAGCAGAAAAACACCTAGAAAAAAACATAAAAATTGAGTGCATTATTTTAATCTAGTGAAAATGGAAAAAAATAATGTTTCACTTATATCAGATTATATTACGAGTGACTCAGTGCAATGGCTTTAACTGTTTGCAGTTTTCAACTCAACATCTCTTTCAATCTAAGTGATAAAATAGTTTCGATAAACTACATTGCCCAAATGAAAAGCTAAAGTTACAAACTTAACTATTTGTACTTGATAAAATGAATTACAATTCCTTTAAAATCTGCATTTATTCATTCCAAAGTTGACCGTATTTATCATTTGATATGATTATCGAAATCCAAAGTATACATTGATGAAATTGCATTTAAGCATTCTTGTAAACGGTTAAGAATCGGGTAACATGTATCTAATTTATTTTTCTGAAAAAAACGAAGACTG